TGAGGATAAAATACTTGAAGGCACGAGCCCAGTGCCTGTGAGTGTGCAATTAACCTCAGACCAAGGAACTGCCAAATGCATCTGGATTTCAGCAAGGCACCTGACAAAGTCCTTCAGGATGTTTTTGTACCTGAGCTAGGGAAATGTACCTGGAGAACAGCTCATACTGCCAGATCTTACTCAAAAGATGCAGATGAAGCAAAATATCAACCCGAAGGGTAGTCCCTGATGGCCCACCAGCCCTGCGCTTGGCTCGTTTTTGACAAGTCTCCTAGATTTGGTTTCAGACTTGCTCCTCCTGGAGACACTGCCTAACCAGCACCCTTGCAGAAAACTGGTGAACTAGAAAAGGCCTGTGTGTGTCACGTGGCCATGCAACACTACTGTAGTGTGTAAGGAATGCGTAGGAGCCTGTAGGGCAGGAGCGAGGTCTTCTGGGGACCTGCATGAGGTACAAAGGGCGGTGGACAAGGAGCCAAGGGAGGTAGCTCTAGCCCCGTCAGCACAGTGACAGCTTGAGGATGCTGGGCAAGTCCCAGGCTGGGCTGTCTGCCTCCCTAGTACCGCAGTTATCACTGACTGCTACCTCCCAGGTTCATGTGCTTCACATGAGACAGCTACCAGACCGGCCCCTGGAAGCTGGAAAATGCTAAGTAAATGTCAAGCTCAACTGTTCACATTTCACCTCAGTCACTTTTACTAAATCTGGCTAAACCTTGAGTACAGGAGATGAGAAAAGGCCCAAATCTCAACACCTACACACTAACATTTTATTCATTATCCACCAGTTCTTTCATAGATTATTCTCAATGTTTACACATCCATAAAAACTTTAGTTTTTTTGGAAGCTGGTGGTAAATTATAACTACAGAAGAGAATTTTCCCAAGGGGGCTGTGGCTTATGGATTTATTACCATCATAAGGGAAAACATTCGTAAAATAATTTGCTATTATGATTTATCCAGCTGTTATTGTGAAGAATTCATGATTTTGTGGTGTCCCTTGGAGGTTTCATTTGCTCTGACTCTTGGTCAGAATTACATATGCTTTTATCAATTTTTAAAGATGAGTACAAAGCTGAGATGTTTCCTGAGCCCTCATATATCTGAGAATGTCATTTGATATCTCAGCCTTCATCTCTCAAAACTTTTTTCAGTTGGCTTTTTTTTTTTTTTTTTGAGACGGAGTTTTCGCTTTTGTTACCCAGGCTGGAGTGCAATGGCGCAATCTCGGCTCACCACAACCTCCGCCTCCCGGGTTCAGGCAATTCTCCTGCCCCAGCCTCCTGAGTAGCTGGGATTACAGGCACGCGCCACCATGCCCAGCTAATTTTTTGTATTTTTAGTAGAGACGGGGTTTCACCATGTTGACTAGGATGGTCTCGATCTCTTGACCTCGTGATCCACCCGCCTCGGCCTCCCACAGTGCTGGGATTACAGGCTTGAGCCACCGCGCCCGGCCTCAGTTGGCTTTTAATAGTGATGAACACTTGCATTTTGGTCACCGTAATTCTTGCTCCTTTATGGGTGTGCCTGTTATTTCCAGCTGAATATTTTTAGTTATTTCCCAGGGTTCTGAAAAATATCCATAGGTACTCCACAAAGAGTGTGGGCCATAACCAAACCTGTCTGGGAAATACTAGCTCATGTATGCAATGTCAAATCTGGTTTATGACTGAAGCGTTGCTCATGTGCACAGTGAACCTTCAAAACATCCAAGTAATCCCCAAATATATTTAATAACAGGACCCTTCTGAGTTCCTGGAATACCAACTAACCATTCCTGAGAAGTGTTCTGCAAAGCCCAATTTGGGATATGCTGGCCTGTAATTTTTCTTATTTTTTAAGACAGGGTCTTGCTCTGTCACCCAGGCTGGAGTACAATGGCACGATCTCAGCTCACTGTAACCTCCGCCTCCTGGGTATAAGTGATGCTGCTGCCTTAACCTCCTGAGTAGCTGGGATTACAGGCGCGTGCCACCACACCCGGCTAATTTTTGTATTTTTAGTAGAGACAGGGTTTCACCGTGTTGGCCAGGCTCGTCTCAAACTCCTGACCTTGTGATCTGCCTGCCTCGGCCTCCCAAAGTGCTGGGATTACAGGCGTGAGCCACCACACCTGGCCTAGTGATTTTAATTATATTTCATTTAAACTCCCAAGAAAGCAGAATATGTCTAGATTAGGGTCTCTTTTGACTATATTTTAATCTGGAAGTCAGGATTCTCTCTTTTGTTTGCTTTTTTTAAAAAATGATGGTTAAAATATATGCAATATAAAATTTACCATAAAGCAGAACCATTTGAAAGTATATAGCTCAGTGGCACCGAGGACATTTACACTGTGTGCCACCATCAGGGATTCTCTTTTGAATTGCACAGTCATTCGTTCAGCTTAACAAGGGTTTCTTGAAATCAGTGATTAGCATTCATTCACTAGTGCCCCTACTAAATGCTAGGCCCTGGCTGAAGCACTGGTTGGCACTCTGGGGATTACAAGAGTACACCAGAATTTATTTCTGGTTATTGCTTTTGCTGCACATGCCCTGGCGTCATCTGAGGAATTCTAGAATTCAGAGGGTGTGGACCTCTACTCTGCCGTCTTACTATCTGCTCTCATTACTCCCCTTTAACCTGTATTCTGAGAAACGTTTCTCAGGTTTTTCCTTGACAAATTTCTTCTTTTCTGATTCTGACAATGTTTTAAATTATTGTACTGTGGTTATCATTTCTCTGCATTTCTTTATTTTACCCATCTTCTTTTTTAACTTGTCCTATTATCTTTTTAGTTCTGCTTGTTCTTTACGGTTTTCAACTTCATAGATACCATGTTTTCTCAAATCTCTAAGAATTCTAGAGAAGGCCAGGCACAGTGGCTCACACCTGTAATCCCAGCACTTTAGGAGGCCAGGGCGGATGGGTTACTTGTGGTCAGGAGTTTACCAGCCTTGACCACATAGTGAAACCCCATCTCACTAAAAATACAAAAATTAGCCTGACATGGTGGCGGGCACCTGTAATCCTAGCTACTTGAGAGGCTGAGGAAGGAAACTTGCTTGAACCTGGGGGGCAGAGGTTGCAGTGAGGTAAGATCAAGCCGCTGCACTCCAGCCTGGGCAACAGAGCAAGACTCTGTCTCCAGAAAAAAAAAAGAATACCAGAGAGAGAGAGAGAGAGAGGTTTGCTGCAATATACAAGGAGAAATTTGCTCCTTTAAAAAAATAATTTTGGCCAGGCACAGTGGCTCACCCTGTAATCCCAGCACTTTGGGAGGCCAAGGCGCGTGGCTCATTTGAGGTCAGGAGTTTGACACCAGCTTGGCCAATATGGTGAAATCCTATCTCCATTAAAAATACTAAAATTTGCTGGGTATGGTGGTGCACACCTGTAATCTCAGCTACGGGAGATGGAGGTTACAGTGAGCTGAGATGATGCCATTCCACTCCAGCCTGGGTGACAGAGTGAGACTCTGTCTCAAACAAAGTAATTTTCAAAGTTCTGATTTTCCAGCATCTTCTAGGTGATGTCTTCCTTTCCCTTTTCTGAAGAATGCTTGTAAAAAGGCTCCACACAGACTTCTTTTTTTGGTTCCTTACCCCTCCAAAAAAGGCCTGATAAAGATGCAGGGGTTTTGTCACTGTTGGTGCACCTGGGTGCTGATGAAAGCACTTTTCAGATTTACCTGTAACTGACTAGCAGGTTGATGTCCATTTCTCCAAGTCTGTTTCCTAGAATGAGCTGGCATCTGTGTAATGCCAGTTTGTCAGGATAAGATCTCTTCTTCAGTTAGCTTGGATACTGTGAATTAATAGGGTGAGACATAGATCAACAGCGAGATTCCTCCCCGCACACTGGACCAGAGCCCTTCCTTGAACGCTGTCTCCCTTCCTCAGCTCTGCTTTGGGTATAGAGGAGACACCACTGCCAGGCTTGCTCGACTCCATGCCCAAGGCTGTGTGAGCTGCAGTTTTCAAGAGCTGCTGTATAGAGAAGCTCCGATGGGGAGCAGCAGGGGGAGGGACCCACTGCAGCACTCGGTCAAATGCGAAGCCCTATTCAGGCGGTGCCGGCTACTCTGCTTTGTGGTCAGTGCTGATTTGGATTTCTAAGGGTGAGCAGGAGGTGGGAAAGCATGAAGGGTTGATTCCGCTTGCATCCAGGTGCACCTGGCACAGGCAGGTCACTGATGGCGTTTCTCTGTCCAGTCTCATCTGTTTCTGAGCATGAAGAAATTCCTCCAGATTCTGCGAATAGGTTTTTGTGTGTCCTAGTTTTGGGTGTTTTGAATCTTTCATTTCATCACTGGTCATTTGGTGGGAAGCAGGAAGAGGCTGTTAGCAGATGCCTTTTTAAACTGGAAATCTACAAGCATTGACTTTAACGGTGGGAAAAACCCATTAAATAATTTATTTACTGATATTAACAAACCAAAATACAACATGGTATGCAATAGTGTAAAGCAAATGAGTTCCAGATAAAAACAGGCATGGTCTGAAACCTTCATTTCCTGATTCCCCATTTGCTTGACACTGGCACGTTACTCATTAATTGTACCTGTACTTACTCATTCTACCTTCATTGCCAAGTCAGAGTGTTCTGAGTCTATCTGCCTAAACATTCAGGAAAAAACAGTGCAGATAATTACATGTATTTTGGAGACCACACTTGCTTTGCTGGTTGCTTGTATCTGACTATTTAAAGTGCATTTTCTAAGCCTACTTTAAATAGAGTTCTTAAGAAACGGTCATCATTCCTAAAAGAACTATATGTGTAACCTTTCTGAAGATTGCTTCAAACTGTGTCTTAAACAAATACTTTTGCTTTTAATTAAATATTTAATTAAACCAATTAGAGATCCATGGAAAGCAGAAAAAGTTCAACAGAACAGTGGTTATACTAAGGAAATGCCCATACCCTCCATTTAACAATGCCACGTAGAAGTGTCATTACCAGCTCAGAGATTTCCATGTGCTCAAACATTTGCCAAATGGGTGAAACGCCAGCATAATTAAAACAAATGATTTATTCCAAGTTCTAACACTTTAAAGTTTTTCAGAAGTTATTACAGAAGTGAACACTGAAATCAGAAATAAGCTCTCACCACTGTAGCATTTATAATAAAGTCATTATTTACATGACCTTGATTTAAGAGGTTTAGAGTATTTCTGTTACTCAGAATCCATGAGAAAAGTTTCGAAGTCCAGATCCAAGTCAGAAATGAGGGCACTGACGAAGTCATCAACAGAAGGACACTTCTGAAGCATACCTGCAAACAAAGGAAAGGTCAGCACTGCATTCACCAGGAGGTAACAGGAAGCACAAAGACATAAATTCAAATCCACTGGCTTTCTGAAATAAGACTCTGGCTCTATAATCTGATTGTAAGAATGTCTTATAAAGTCATAGGCAGTGTGTGGGCCTTGGAGCTATTTATAATTTTGATTCATTTTTACTATCAAATTAATCCTTAGCTTAGAGATTCAGGCCTAAATATATTTTCTAAGGGCTTTTATTTTTGCATATATGACCTACACTTAGAGAGTGATACTAGAAAACTGAATTTTTTAATGACCATACACTTAGAAAGTGATATTAGAAGGCTGAATTTTTTTTTTTTAGTTATCTTTGGGATGATTCAGAATTTAATAAGTTTAATTATCTATCAAGTTTTGCTATCAAGTTCTATATACTTTACAATCAATCAGATGTTAATTCTTTTCTAGAAGTCTTATAACAGAATCAAGTTATTGGCTTTCCTTCAGATTTTCCTGTCCCACAGAATTCCTAGCTTTGCAACTTACTGTGTAACACAGAAGTCACCTAAAATCTCTGGCACCCAAGTTTCCTACAAGATTGCTCTGAGGATCAAACAAGATGGAGCAGAATCAATGAAGCAGCATGCCTAGCATATGTTAATAATTCAATAAAATGCGAATTCATGTGCTTTCTTCACTCTAAAGAAACCAAAGGCAAAGGTTTATGCATTTAGCCTTATTGCTTCAACCTACATTCTTGGCAAGAAATGCTAACTCAAGGGTTGAACAGGCTCTATATGCCGACATGTACTTTGGGAGAGGAATTCTATAGAACGGTTTTCAAAATCAAGGCATTAAAAGATTGCGGGAATCCTCTATTGTTCTCTTATCTGCATTGCAATTCAGTGAATATGTATGAAGCATCTACTGTGTGTAAAGGGTCAGGCCAGGTCATGGGCATATGGGCGGGTAGGCTCAGTCACAACATGAGGGTGAGAAGGACACTCACGGTGGTGGGCTGGGCGGAACTGCATATCCATATGGGGGAAGCTAACCTTGACCCCTCCTGGATACCATACATAAAAATTAATTTGAGGTGGTAACAGACCTAAATGTAAACACTAAAATTATTGTCTTAAAAAACCCCATGAAGTATCTTTCTGACTCTGAAGTAGGTACAGTTTCTTAGGACACAGAAAGCAATGACCATAAAAAGAAAAAAATTAATATGTTAGATTTCATCAAAATTAAAAATGTCTCTTGAAAAGAAACCATTAAGCCAACGAGTAGGCAAATGATAGAGTAGGAAAAAAATACTCACAGAACATATCTCACATAAGACTGGTACCAGAATACATAAAGAACACCTTCAACTCATCGTAAAATTTTGTAAAATTACAAATAGACAAAAGATTGTACCTTCACAAGGTCAGACCTTTCACAGAAGTATCTGAATAAATGACACAACCAATAGGCACAGAGAAGACATTCAACATCATTAGTCATTAGGGAAACGAAAACCATACCCACAATGAGATACTATTACACATCCACCAGAATAGCCATTTTTTTTTTTCTTTTTGAAGATAAGGTCTTGCTCTGTTGTCCAGGCTGGAGTGCAGCGGTGTGAACGTGGCTCACTGCAGCCTTGACCTCCCAGGCACAAGTGATCCTCTAGCCTCAATTTGAGAGTAGCTGGGACCACAGGTGTGTGCCACCATGCCCGGCTAGTTTTTAAACTTTTTGTAGAGATGGGGTCTTGCCATGTTGCCCAGGCTAGTCTTGAACTTCTGGGTTCAAACAATCCTCTTTCCTTGGCCTCTCAAAGTGCTGGGATTACAGGCGCGAGCCACCGTGGTCAGCCAGAATTGCTAAAATTAAAAAGGCTAAAAATACCTAATGTTGACAAGGCTGTGGGCAACCTGAATTGTCCTACATTTGTGATGAAAGGATAAAATGATATAACCACTTTGGTAAAAGGTCTAACAGTTTCTTATAAAACTAAACATATACCTACCCTAGGACCCAGTAATTTCATTCCCAGGTATTTATCCAAGAGAAATGAAAGCATATGTCAACAAACAACTTGCACAACCCTATGCTGGAAACAACCCAAGTTTCTAATACTGGGATATGAATACACACACTACAACACATTCATATAATGGAATATTACTCGGCAACAAAAAGGAACAAATTACTCATACATGTAACAACACAAATGGATCTCAAAAACATTATGCTGAGTGAGAGAAGCCTTATAAGAAGCAGTACAAACTGTTTGATTTCATTTATATGAAGTTCACCAACATAAGACCTAACACATAAAAACCCTAGATGAAAACCTAGGCAAAACCATTCAGGACATAGGCATAGGCAAGGACTTCACGACTGAAACACCAAAAGCATTGGCAACAAAAGCCAGAATAGACAAATGGGATCTAATTAAACTCCAGAGCTTCTGTACAGCAAAAGAAACAATCATTAGAGTGAACTGGCAACCAACAGAATGCGAACAAATTTTTGCAATCTACCCATCTGACAAAGGGCTGATATCCAGAATCTATAAAGAACTAAAACAAATTTACAAGAAACAAACAAGCCCATTCAAAAGTAGGCGAATATGAACAGACGCTTTTCAAAAGAAGACATACGTGAGGCCAACAAACATGAAAAAATGCTCATCATCATTGGTCATTAGAGAAATGCAAATCAAAACCACATTGAGATACCATCTCATGCCAGTTAGAATGGCGATCATTAAAAAATCTGGAGACAACAGATGCTAGAGAGGATGTGGAGAAATGGGAACACTTTTATACTGTTGGTGGGAGTGTAAATTAGTTCAACTATTGTGGAAGATTCCTCTGGACCTAGAAATAGAAATTCCATTTGACCCAGAAATCTCATTACTGGGTATATACCCAAATAATTATAAATCGTTCTATTATAAAGACACATGCACAGGTATGTTCACTGTGGCACTGTTTACAATAGCAAAAACCTGGAACCAACCCAAATGCCCATTGATGATGGACTGGACAAGGAAAATGTGGCACATATACATCATGGAAGACTATGCAGCCATAAAAAACGATGAGTTCATGTTCTTTGTAGGGACATGGATGAATCTGGAAACCATCATTCTCAGCAAACTGACACAAGAACAGAAAATCAAACACCACATGTTCTCACTCATAGGCGGGTGTCGAACAGTGAGAACACGTGGACACAGGAAAGGGAGCATCACACACTGGGGTCTGTTGGAGGGGGTTAGGGGAGGGACAGCGGGAGGTGGGGGGGTTGGGGAGGGATAACATGGGGAGAAATGCCAGATATAGGTGAAGGGAGCATGAAGGCAGCAAACCACATTGCCGTGTGTGCACCTATGCAACAATCCTGCATGATCTGCACATGTACCCCAGAACCTAAAGTACAATTAAAAAAGATGTACTGATGTCTACTACTTTGAAATGCATAAAAATACAAGGCCAGGTAGAGAGATGAAGAGATGTAAATATAGGAAAATGCTGACTAAATGGCAAGTATATGAGTGTTTATTGTACTATTCAATTTTTCTGAATATTTGAAAAATTTTAACATAAAATCTTGAGAAAAAGTAAACTGTAGATGCTAATAGCATACAAAGTGCAGTCAGTGTGGGAGAACAGAAGAGAAAGATGAATTCCAATGAAGAGATTCAGAAGGTTTGTGAAAGAGACGGAACTGGCAAGCAACTTAACAGATGGGGCCTTTTGCGTGGAGGAGGCGATATAGAAAAGGCATAAACGTGGGAAAATGTACAATGTGTGCTGACCAGGCGGGGTAGAGTAAGGCTGGAAGAGACTCTGGGAGAGGAACAAGAGAGGAGCCGGGGCTCTGAACCACGGCGACCCACAGAACAGGAAGGACAGACTGAGCTGGAATCCAGGAGGAGCAGGGCGGTGTGGAAACACAAAGGAATAATGGGCAGTTACCAGAAGAGAATGTCACTGCTATGTCTATTTGCACAATTCAGTTCCAAACACAGTGTTCTTTTTTACAGTAAAATAATCTAATGCATGAATGCAGGCCTTGCCTCTGGCCCAGCTGTCAGAACGACGGAAGCGCTGGGTACGTGATGACAGCTAGAGCAGCAGAGTTGACACTGTACCTTCTAGATGCAGGTTACCACTCGAGTAGACTCTACCTGATAAATCAGGTTTCATGCATTCCCTATGTGCCAGGTTTCTTGATACAGAGAACATTTGGAGAAAATATTTAATTAAGACATGGCTTTCCATAAAATGTGCTAGTCTATCACACCATTTTCTTCCTTTTAGTATTTGAAACGTTTCTATAATTACATGCCTGGTCGTTTATAACTAAATGACTGGAACGGTCAGAGGGGAAGCCATTTATTCAGAGCCAAGCTATTCAGGTAAGTATGGCCATCCTGTTCTTTGAAGTGGTTCAACAGACTGCCAATATAAACATGACCCTGCCCTCTCCTTCCCAGTAGACAAGCCCAACTAGCACACGTCCTTCTCCAATTTCCCACCTTAAATAATCCCTGTATCTCATAGAATGGCAACTGCGGCCACAAGAAACAAATATATAAACTTGTGGGATTTTCTAAAGAAATATGGTTAGGGCTAAATGGTTTGGTGAATTTGTACGTAATGGGATTGCTGAAGATGAAGTTTCAAAAGGGAGGAAATGAGGACTTGTGCCTGGAGGGATAATGGAGAACAGTTACTGGGGAAGAATCCTGGGCACTGTTATGCTAGCCCTGCTCTAATTAGATTTAAATGTTCTGCGAGTGTCAACATGAACTAAACCCTACACAGAGAATTAAAAGAAAAACCCAATGTTTCAGGCAGTTCTACAAGTAAGAAAAATTGGCTTCGGCTTTTATAGATGGACATAGTCAAAAAATTCCAAGAAAGCTTTGATTTCTTTTTCAAAGCTGACAAAAATGTTCCCTTTGCCTTCAAGTCTTAGTTTTCTAGGCACCCCTGGGAACCAGCTT